GTGCTGATCAATTAGTGCCAATTTAATGTATCCTTTTTTTAAAATCCAATTTATAATTAACAAAAGTAAATCACAGAAAGGGGATTGAAAAGAGAATGTAGATTTTAGATTAGAACAAACTAAACACTTTAAGTGAATCGCTACTAGATATATAGGTCAGTCCCAAATGACTAAAATAATTCTAATGAATGGCAGATGATTACTTAATTTATACAACCTAGTCTCATGAGGGCCTCGCATGCAGACTCTTCTAAAAGAAACACGGAACATCACAGAAATACTAAGGTGATCTAAGGATAGGCTTTTTAAAAAAGATCAAGGGAAGCACAATTTAGTTCCAGGGTCTAGAACTATCCTAGCCAATTAAAATTAGTATAGCAGATACAACAGCAGTTCTCTTACCAAGTTATGACATTAAAAAATTTATTAGCCCAATAGTTCACAGGAGATGTCTTATTCTTCCTGCTATTATCTTTAATTTCAGACAATCTATAATTGTAAAACAAATTCTAGAAGACACTGTTCTCAAACCTAACACTTACAATACTTAACATTTATATTGAATTTTACCACTTTTAAGGGACGTTAGCAAAGCTCAATGGTAAAATCATTTAATTTGCTTATATGATAAAAATTATTGGTACATGTAGATTTTGTTATAGTTTAGAAAAACTAAAAAAGTCATTTTTCTTTAATTTAGGTGGGCTTATCATATTTGAAAATTATGTCATGGAGAAAAATATATATATATATACATATTTATACATACACATGCACACACCAGCCAGCCCTCAATTATACATTGCTCATGAGTAATTACCAGCCTATAGGCTGTGACCTGTTTTAAGAGCTTATCATTTGCGCCTTAGTCCATTCACCCCATGAAAGAGGAAATGCAGTGTACCTAATGTATATGCACACTCTAGGGTATAGGTAACATGTAACGTGCAGTTACATGAAAAAACATCTGACAAAGCCAGTTCAGTCCCAACGGTGCAAGTCTCATTTCTAAAGAATGTAGAATGCTTCTGTGCAATAATTTATTATAGCTTTTAGTATTAATCACATTTTATAAGTATACAATTAAAACTTTAAAACTATGGAGATCTACTCATACCGTAAACTCCAAACATACTCATTTTGACTCTTGCATTTGTATAATTAATTGTCTTGCTATTCTCTTACTTAAAGTGATAAAAAAGCAGATGACAAAAAATGACACTGGGCTGTGTCTCTAGAAAAGACGTCCCTAGAATACACAGGCAAAGAGGAGAAAGGCTGCACTGTTAACCCCACAGGTGGAAGCCTGTGCCCCGCCATCATCCTTCCTCTGAGGGACAGGGGTGTGATGTGATGTGAACTTTCTGCCCTACACTATGTAATAATTATTTCTTCAGGATAAGATAATTTTCTAGTTGTTTCCATGACACAAAATGAAAATTACAATACAATTTACAGAGCATTGTGTTTGGGGATATAAGCTATGTGGATACATTTTATATGATTATTATGCTTGGATAACGGGATTTTGCTTTAGTAAATGACTAAAACTTAACACATTGTATATTATATTCTTATAAATCACGTAGGGTCATGATTCTAGAATTTCTTTGAAGACTCCAGTGTCTGGCAGTTTCAGAGCAACAGTGCTCTGTGTAACAGTGTTTCCTCTTCCTGGGCCCATATGCTTCGTTTCCTAGGCTGCCTTGCAGCTGGACTCGGGTAGCATAACTTGCATTCTCACCAACGGATGACACAGGCCATGTCCAGGCCTGGCCATGCAGAGCCACTTCCTAGCAATCTTTTCCCCTCCTGCAGCCCCGTGTTCCAGTTGGCTAAGACAGTAAGTGGAGGGTGCTACCCAAACCAGATTTCCCATTAACAAGAAAAAACTTAATAAACTTAATCTCGGGTAAGCCTCTCAGATTTGAGGTTAATTATTACTGCAACACAGACAGGGTAGGACCCAACTTGCAGAGGCAGTACAGTAGATTATTACCCTGACAAAATGAAGGCAATAAAAATTCTAGAAGAAAATTAAAATTAAGATAATCTTTTAAAATGTATCAAACATCTGTTAAAAAATTAAAAAATACTGCTCAAAAGCCAAAAACTAAGCTTTGACATAAAACGAAGACCAAAGCTAACTTTCATCTTAAGGGTGTTTACCAAATGAACCTGGGCTTTAGTTTCTAAGGCCTCCTAGTATTGAAGGTCACCAGGAGACAAAGCCCAAGGCCTGCCCAAGGTGGAAATCTAAAAGGAGACTGTACCATGCAAAGCAGAGATCCTAAATATCAACATGAATACAAATAACACTCCCCTTGGACTGCTAGGAAAACTGCTCAAACAAACCTTGGCACTCCATAGCTGAGAAGAGGGGAAAGAAATCCCCCTTGAGCATTTGTAACCAGGTGTCAAATTCCCAGCAGTATCATTATGCATTCACGATCTAGACTGCCAACATGGTCCAAAAAAGTCTCAAACAAAATGTTCTAAGTTGTTAACGCCCCAGCAGAACTGGGCTAGGAGCCTGGCAAAAGCAAATGTAAATTTTCCTTGGGCTTACTTTTTAACCCACGTCTCAAATAATTCCAACAGGCAAAGTTCTCAGAAATATGAGGTCATGGCCAAAACTCATAAAACAGTGAAGAAATTGAGGTTATGAAATAGAAAAGCAAAAGTGAACATAAGAGACAGTTGACTTATATTAGAATTATTCTAGAATATAAAAAAGTTTGACAATTACGTTTTAAGAAAGAATCTTGAAAATGTGAGTAAAGGGCAAGCATACGAGAAAGAAGCATCGTGGCAGGAATTAAAAATGCGGTGGGTGGGTGTGGTGGCAGAACAGACACAGCTGAAGTGGGACAGGGAAGTAGAGTACAGAGGTGACAAAGCACTTCAGAACACAGCCCAGGGAAATTAAGACAGAAAATATGAAAGAAAAGTTCTGAGATCTATATGATACAAATAGTGGATCTTACATGCATTTAACTGGAGGTGCAGAAGAAAGGAGAAAGTGCTTAGGGCAATATTTGAAATCATAATGATTGAAAGTTTTCCAGAACTGATGACATACATAATGTACGGGTGGAGGAAATCCAATGAATCCCAAGCTGAATGCATTTTGCAAAGTTCACAATTATACCAATTACAGTGAAGATGTGGAATATCAAAAACAATGAGAAGATCTTAAGAGCAGAAGTCATTTTTTAGATGTGGCTTTTTCTATTAGTTAATCTTTCAATTATACTTTTAAAACATTACTGTGCTATCTCTTTAACTAATAATCTATTAACCAGAGTATCTACACAGAGACAAAGTTACGACTGCTTTAGTTAACATACCATCAATTCAACACAATATAACAAAGCTTAATGCTTCACAATGGTAGAAAGTTTTAAAACTTCAGAAATTGTTATTTAACAAATAAGAAATCTAAGAAGCATATCTATGCATGTCACACCACTAACCGAAATCTTTTAAGACTAGAAAACTAGTTGTAATATTGATTGTGAAGAGCCTTAAATTCCACACAATGGAGTGTGAACTTCTTTGCCATAGGTCTTGGGAAGTTCTTATCTTCTAACATTTTTCTATAGTATTCCTGTATTTTAGCTGCATAGTCCTCCCTGCAGATTCTATGATACATCCTGCACCTCCATGCTTCTTTACTGGCCCTTCCTGGCTTGAATGATTTTCCCATCATCTCCCATAACAAACATCTACTTATCCTTGAAGACTTTGTTGAAATGTAAGCTCAATGGGAGATATGTTCCATGAAAGCAAGTGTTTTTGTCTCTCTCTCTTTTTTTTTTTTTGATTGCTGTATCCATAGAAAAGAGTCTGGCATATAGCAGGTACTCAGTAAATAGTTGTTGAGTTAATTGAGTGAATAACTGTGAGTGCCTCTGCAGAGACTTTCCTTATAACACCCAGATTATTTATTCCTTCATCGTCTTTAGGTACTAATCTTTTAACACTGCATTATGATTACATTTTTATAAATGTCTCCTTCATTGGACATGAACTGGAGGGCAGTGCAACAGACAGGTAGCAGGCACTCCATAGCTGTTTGACAACCAAATAAATGGAGTTTGAAATCTGAATTCTTCTGCTCCCCTTCTACAAGGGGACTCAACAAGGCTAGATAATGCAAAGAGCCAGAAAAAAAAAAAAAATGCAAAACTGGCTAAACAATGGTGAGCATGCATTAAATGTGCTATATTAACCAATCGATAATTTTTAGTAATGACATGCTACAGTTAGTGGATATCAGACAGAGTAAAAGCAAAATTATGAGTAGTAGCACACTATAATGAGAAGCAAAAAATAAAGGAATTGTCTGCTATCTTAAAAAAATGTTACCAAATAATTATTTTTTAAACTGAAATCCACCAATCTTATAAAATTTATTTATTAAGCATTCTGTTGAATGTACTACATTGATAGAAAATTTCCTTAATATTTGTGATTGGAAATAAATGACATTATCATTAGAAATTTATTCTGAGGCAGTGAAATTAATAATCAGACAACTTATGAATAGTCAAAGCTAAAGATTTTTTAAAGTGCTTAACAAAATCAAATCCAGTTTCCAATTATAATGACAACACTCAAAATATATGAGATTTCCATTAGAAATATTTACCAAGCCTTTTGTTTCCCCTGTTGAGGTTTCTGTAAGTGTCATTCACATTCAGCTGCTCAAAATGCAAAAGTGCTAAACTTAATTCTTAGTCGATTTAATTAGAAGTTACAAGGTTTTCTCTTTTTTCTTGGGCACAATAAAATGAAAACTTTGAGGCTTCTCCTCCACATGCTTGCTGGTTAGTATCCTTGGGCAGAAAATGAAAGTAGCCCCAAGCAAGCACACATGGTCATCTTCACTCAGAGGTCAAACACACACACATAGGGAGAGGGTTTTCTCCGAGTCTGCTCAAAGGTTAGAGGTTTTGAGAAGTGAAGTGCTCATGTTATATTTACTTTTCACTTACTGGTTGGAGCAGGTAGATGAGAGATTGCTCTTGGATTATTATAATTGGCGAAGGAGTGATGCGAGTCGCTTGGAACAGGGTGTTCACAGATGCCATAATCTGGTCAAAACGCCCAGTGAGGCCTCCCAGCGTCACGATCAAATCAACCTAAGCAAGGCAGGTAAAACTGGGAGTCACATATTTAAAGAATTTTAAATAATTAAGTAGCATCAAACACCTAAATAGAGCTTTCAGTACTATAGTTTATTTGATAAGCAATGAAGAAAATGCATCATTTCTGTTCTTCAGATAAAGACATTAAGTTGCTTGTTTAACGCCACATAGCTGGGAAGCAGCAGGGCCAGGCGTCAAGACGAACTCTTTTGAGTACATATTCTAAGTTTTTTCCATCTGCCTATTCACCTAGAAAACTAGCCAACTCTTCCTTTAAAACTCCACTTACGTGTTCCTTTCAAGTGGAAGTCTTCTCTGATTTATAATTATCGGCATTGTCAAAGCCGATATATTGATCACAAAAGAGGAAGGATGGAAGAGCTTAATTAAAACATTATAAGAAAACCTTAAATACAATAAAAACTGACAGTAACATGCATTCTATCTGTTATAAAATAGAAATTGTTTAAAAATAGGGAGTATTTGGTTTTTAGGTTTTAAAAAAGTTACCTTGGATAAAAAAAGCTTAGATAATCTATAGTCCATAAAGATGGCATAATTTTAGAAGAATAAGCGATTACCCAAGCACTAATAGAACCTATTTAATTCCTAGAGGAATAATAAATACTACAAGATCCATGAAGTCAAAGGCTGTGTTTCTCTGGTTCAATGGTTATAGCCTGGTATTTTGCATAGTGCCTCGCAAACCAAATGCTCAAGAGTTTGATGAATGAATAAATGAAGACATTGAAAGAAAAGACTCACTGGCCTAAGGAAGAAATAGATTCATTGCTATACTGTGAGAACATATAAATCGGAATGGGGTTCCATAAAAAACACTAAAAGTAAACTACAGAGAAGAACCAAGAAGTTTGAAATGAGTTTCCTATTTCTGACCTTGGCTGAGTATAGTGAGGATGGGAATTTTTACTTTGGATAAAATACTTCATGTCAAACCCAAAATATTTTAATACAGGAAAACCACACATCTATAGGACCTACTCTTCTCCTTGGAGATCCTTCCAGAACTCCAAGAATTATTAGGTTTGGGGCCCAAAAAGACCATGCATCCTAGAATGCATGTATTACTCTGAATACATGGGCAAAGCCAGGGACGTCTGTCAATCTTCAGAGCAAGGAGGTAATTTATTAATATAAGCAATTATATTTGTCAAAGAGATGGCTTCTGTTTGGGATATCAAGTTAGATAAATGATTTCTATTCATGTTTAGGAGGTCTTTATTAAGAGGGACACTCCAGGCCAGTTGGGAAAGGCCCAGAGATTGTATATGACCTAAGGAGAACTAATGAGAATTTGCTTTAAACTGAAGAGAAATTCAACAAAAGAAGTGTATGAAATACAGAAAAAGTTTTAAGGCATCAGTAAAAAGCCCACACCATAGTCCTATCCACATAATCCTAAATTCACATCAGAAGCAAGGCCTGACAAAAGTTTATTCACTTTGCAGATTCTGGAATCCCTTTTTTAGGTTCTCAATTTTTCATTGCTAGACTCTAAACCTTGAGGGATCCCATAACCTTTAAGACTGAAATTTAATCCTGTTCTTCTACAATGGGACATCATTCATGGAAGGAATAAGCAATACCTGTAAATCAATCACGGGATTTTTCAGAAGAAAGTAGCAGCAAGATTACTTCTCATCACTACTCATTTTCACTACAGGAAGTATTTAGCAAGACTGATTAAAAACATTAGAGGATCAATGCAAACTGCAGGTGGGACTGGGGAGGAATTGGTGTCATACTATTTTTGCAGTTCTCTAGTTCTACCTGTGACTAGGACAGCTGATATTCACAGAGATACAAGAAAGAGGACATATACCACCCCTGCATTTTTGCATAGGGCCTACAAAGCTAGATTTATGTCTTTTAAGACAATAATGCCTGGGAAAGGGTGTTCAATCTAAAATAGACCATTTGTAGACTGCAAGGGTGTCTTTTCTATGTGAAGCCAAATCCCTGTGTGCATTTATGTCTAACATCACCCAGTCATACTTTGTTGTAACTACTGACATACTTGTCTCTCTCTCCTCTGGAGGAGACCCGTGAATCACAGCCATTAGCACAGTGTTTACAACAAGAGCAGACAACAGGTTTTTACTGAGCTTCCCTGAGTATATAAAAACTCAGGAAGAACTGACTAAATAACTAGAGAGGCAAAAAGCTAATTATTAGGCTGAGTTAATATCTAACACCCACAAAATAGTATTTCTTTACTTGGCAAGGATTCCAGGAATTAGTAGTTTTTGAAAAAGGTTAACGTGTCACATTTATTACCTCAGATAGATATTTGATTAATTTATAAGGGAATGACAAATAATAAAAACTTGACTATTGATCATTTACCATGTGCTAGGAAATATTCTGAACACTTA